GCAGGAATCTGGCAGTGACCTGTGGCTGCTGTGTGTCCCTGGCCTGAGACTTAGCCTCTCTGGGCTCTGGTTTCTTAATGTGGAATTGGGGGGGTGGGGCGCTGGGCAGGTCAGGGAGGGACACAGATTCTAGTTCATAGTGTTCAGTCAGCTCACATTTCTGCACAACTACTGTGTGCCAGGCCCACACGGTGGCAGTGTGAACAGGGCAGGTGCAGGCTTTGCTTTTTAGGGGCTCACCCAGTCTGATGGGGGAGGCAGTCAGGAATCAAACACAGGTAAAATGACAGCAGAGCTGAGAGAGCTGATCAAAAGGGGCCTGAGGGCTTCCCTGGTGGCGCAGTGGTTGAGAGTCCGCCTGCCGATGCAGGGGACACAGGTTCGTGCCCCGGTCCGGGAAGATCCTACGTACCGCGGAGCGGCTGGGCCCGTGAGCCATGGCCGCTGAGCCTGCGCGTCCGGAGCCTGTGTTCCGCAACGGGAGAGGCCACAACAGTGAGAGGCCCGCGTACCGAAAAAAAAAAAAAAAAAAAAAGGGGGGCCTGAGTTAGTGGGGAAGGGGGAGGGTTCTGGAGGAGGAGACACACTGGTGGACAGGGAAGAGCTGGTAGAAACTGTTAACTGGGCATAGAGGGAGTAGAGGGCTCTCAGGCAGCCCTGGGTTAGGAATGCGCCGGCCGGCAGAGCGCAGAGGAGGGAAGAGGGAGCTAAGAGCAGGAAGTGACATCAAAGACCTGCTAGGGGCCTTGCGAGGAGGCGGAAGGATTAGGAAGGGGGGAAGGGTAAAACGGGGAGATAGAGGGGGAAGAGAAAAAGGGGGGGAGTAGGGTGGAGGAAGAGGAGGAGGAAAGGGACGTGGAAATGGAGGCGGGCCAAGAGGAGATAAGGGGAAAGAGGGCGGAGGGGGAGGAGGAGGATTTGACTCAGAGGGAAGTCTGGGGAACGGTGTGAACGCGCCTGGATCTGATTCACGTTGTAAGGTCTCCCCCTGGTGGCCTAGTGGAGAACGGGCAGGGAGATGGGACGGATCCACCCTTGCGTCTACCCTTTGGTCCTCACAGCCAGTCACAAAAAGTGTGGCAGCCTGAGCCAGGCCGACCTCAATTGCTCGAGTAGCCTCCCGTCTTCTAGGCTTGGTCATTCCATGAACAGAATGGGGACAATATACCCCCAGACCCTCGCCAAGCGCCCCCTGCGCAAATGGGTGCTTTGTGCAGATGTGCTCAAGTGATTCCCACAAAGCCTTACGGGGCAGGAGCTACTGTCATCTCCGCTTCACAGAGGGGGAAACTGAGGCTCAGAGGGTCACGTGGGATGCAGATGCCAGACTGGAATCCAAGACCCCCCAGTCCTGTCCTGGGCTCCACTAGCCTGGGCTGGCCCTTGGCGTGGGTCCAGCCCCTCCCAACAAACTCGAAGCCACCGCCAGGCAGGGCGGAACCGTGGGTGTCCCTGGCGCCCCAAGGTGCCAATTAAATGCTCGTGGCCGTCTGGGGCCAGAGCTGTGGACGGCGGCATGGCCGAGCCGGGGCCGGGGCCGGGGCGCGCCTGGCGAGTGTTCGCCCTGTGCGGGGCCGCGGTGTTCCTGGCAGCGGTGGCGGCTGGAGCAGCCCTGCTGGCCTGGAATCTGGCCGCCTCGACCTCCCGGAGGCCTGGCTGCCCAGAGCCAGGGGCCAACACCACGGCGCCGCCTGGAGACCTGGAGCCTGAGGTCAAGGAACTTCGGCGCCGGCTGGCAGAGGCTGCCCAGCGCGAGGAGGCCCTGACCAGGCAGTTGAACCAGGCCGAGGGTGTCCGACAGGAGCTGGAGGAGGCCCTAAGGGCCTGTGAGGGCCGCCAGGTAGGTGGGCAGGGTGGGGGGCTGGGGATTCCAGAATATGGGGGGGAGAGGGTGCACACACATCCCTGGGGCTCCCCCCACCGACCCCGCTGCCCTGTGCCTTGGTTTCCACCATTCTTCAATTGAGGGAGGAAAATAAGAATACACACGTAATTCCTTCCAACTCCTACAATGCCATTTCAGCCTTGAGTCTACCTTCTGACCAAGAAGGTGTCGCTGTCCTTTGCTATTTGCCAGATCACTGGTGGAGGCTAGGGAAGCCTCAGACCCCTAAGCCCACCTGGGGAGGCCCTGTGCTAACCCTCCCCCTAGGTACCCACTCAACATCCCACCTCCCAGCCAGTGTACAGCAGCCCTATTTAGAGAGAGGGACATTCATGTAATTAGGAGGCTAAAGTTGGCCTCTTGGGGGAGGTACTAGCCAGGTCCTCCCTTTTCCTCCTGCCACCCCCTTCAAACTCTTCCTTAACCCTTCCCAGCCCTGGACCTCGCAGAAGAATCATCCTCAGAGTCCCAACCATTCATGTTTATTGAGTAACTACTGTGTACCCCTGTGTCCCAGGTGCAGCAGAGGTTGGGCAGTGTATGAATTTTTGAAAATTCATGCCTTTTGAAAGTTCATCCCTACACCTTTCCTGACTGCCTAAGGGAAAGGCCTGGGGTAGCCGAGGTTAAGAGCAGCCTGCACTGGGTTCAAATTCTGTCTCTGCCTCTCGATGGAGGATTCTCC